GACCCAGATGTCTCCAATAGAGCCATTAGCCAATTACAGTGTCATTTGTGGCTACATAGGAGGTTTCATGTGCTAGTGTCCCTTCCAGGAAGACGTGGCGTTAAGGAGGAGAAAGTATGTGGATGTGAGTGGGGAACCAGGGGCTTGAAAGACGGGGTGTATAATCATCCTGCTTCCTTCTCTGTTCTGTCCAGTTTCTCATGGTGATTGCTGAACAGTGAGAGCGCTGTGTGCAGCCCCCACCCCAGCGCCTTTTCCGAACCTTCTCGGGTTCCCTCTTCACCTTCTCTTGTGTCTGTGGCTCATAAGCAACCTTGTAGTTACTCCTCCGGTTGTTCTTCCGGCTTGTCTCTTCTTTTGTACCTGACCTCTCCTTCCCTTTGTCTTTCATGTGGTTTTTCTTCTATAAGTTACAACACTTTTCAGAGATTTGCTTGCCTTTTGGTTGTTTTTTATTTTTTCACGAGACTATGGCCTTTGAGTAGGGACATCATGTCCTCTTGGATCTCTCTGCTGCTGGCAGCAGCCTCATACACACAGTGGCAGCTGGTACTGTGGACAGTGTCTTAACTAGGTTTTCTATTGCTGTGATAAAATACCATTGACCAAAAGCAACTTGGGGAGGAAAGGGTTTATTTTGCTTTCACTTCAACATCACAGTCCATCATGGAAGGAAGTCAGGGCTGGAACTTAAGGCAGGAAGCTAGAGGCAGGAGCTGAAACAGTCCATGGAGGAATGCTGCTTACTGGCTTGCTCCTCGCTGCTCATTCGGTTTTGTTTTTGTTCTTTTAAAAATGTATATCTCAATACTACCTGCCATGGAATAGTACCACCTGCAATGGGCTGGACCCTTCTTTATTAATCAATCACCAGACAAGAAAATGTCCCACTGGCTTGCCTACAGGCAATCTTATGGAAGCATTTTCTCAAGTGAGGTTCCCTCCTCTCAGATACTCTGGCTTGTATCAGGTTGATAAAAATTTAGCTAGCACAGGCAGTATTTGCTCTGAAGCCATGAGCCACAAGAAGGGAGTTCTTTCCAGTGGGGTCTTTGACATCATTTTTTCTTATTACTGTGATAATTAAGTGAGCAGCTCTCTTATTAAGAGCTTGGCATGGGTATGCCTCTGGGGAACCGTTCTGATGCCTGTAATTTTTGTAAGGTCTCATATGACTCCCTTTGGAGCCTCTCAGGTAAAATCAGATGTTTTTTGAGGGAGCGTCAACTTGATTATAAAGTAAACACACTGTCTAGATCTAATCATCTTTGATGCTACCTCTCCTGAAGACACACTTTGGTCTTGCAGTGATCAGTGGTTTCTTAGAAACAGAGAAGAGTGTGTGTGAAGGGTTTCAAACTGAAAGCTTCCGAGACTAAGGACTGGGAGTACCTTCAGGTCTTGCCGTCCCAGCATTAGCGACATGAGGCCCTGAGGTGGCTTTCTTGCCTGTGTATTGACAAATGGGGAAAGATGGCCTAGTAAGAGAGGAAAAAACATTCCGAGGGCAGAGAGATAATAAAATCAAGCTGGTTTATAGTTTGTCAGTCCAGAAAAGCTTTGAAAGTTTGTCTGAAAGGTGGGTGCACTTAATGTTTACTCTGCATGTGGGCCGCATTGTGTGGTAAGGGGTATAAATTTAGTCTCTTTAAGTCTCATGGGGAGGGGGTAAGATTGGAGTGTTAGAATGAACTTTATTTGAAAGCACTATCGAGTGGGCTTTGGCTTGGCCCCTCCTTCCCAAGAAAGGTGCCGAATAATGCCTGGCCTACTATTGGGATTTTTCGTTTCCTTAATTTACTTTATAAGCCCTTTCCCCTGCCCTCACTCTCCCCTTTCTATATCTTAACTGTTCTTCTTCACTGTAAAGTGTATGAGAGGGGGAGCGAAGGAAAGAGAAATCAGCTGTCACGTTGTGAACGTAATTGATTCAATAAATAACGTCTTGGAATTCCCAGGGCAAAGCTTGGAATCTTTATTTCCGTCAATTAGTGGCCTGGTAAGTGGTGGAGGTCTTAATTTAGACGGATGAGACAGTTTATGGATTAGTTCTCTCTTCCCAAGGAAGAATGTGCCTTCCGTGTTTTAAAGACACACCGTCTGGATGTGCACAGCTGCTCTGAAAAAAAGAACTTCTGTCATGGCAGTTCCCGTTCCTCCTGGAAACAGGAGGACATTTCATTATTGGGGGTGGGGTTGTTGGAACATGAAAAGATTGAAACAAGAAAGGAAATTCCTTGTAAATTCTATTAGGGCTGGGACTTTTTCTTCGCTGTTTACCGTTTAACATCCAGTGCACGTAGTGGGCACACAGCAAATATTACTCAGACATATTGTTGGATAAATGACAGCAGGAGTGAACCTAGTCTGGGTCTTAGAATTGTGTTAGATTTTTGTCCCACTACTTGTTGCAGCTTTGGTCCCCACTTTTTCCCCAGTGATGTAGGAGGCTAGGTCTTTTTAAGATTTATTTTTCATCATATGTTTTTGTGAGTGTGTATGCATGCAAGCACAGGTATCTGAGGAGGTCAGGAAAGGGTGTAGGATCTCCTGGAGCTGGGAGTTGCAGGAGGTTGGGAGTTGCCTGATGTGGGTGCTGGGAATTGAATCCAGGTCCCCTGCCAAGAGCAAGTATTCTCTCTGGTTCCACCAGGAGACTGATTTTAAAAGTACAGTTTGAGACAACATCTCCAGGTATGATAATAGGAAGCCTACTTCATCATGCCCAGATGGGCAGAGCTGGAGGGCATCCTACAAAGCTTCTAAGTTGCATTTCAGAATCTCACAAAGTGTGTTATCAACGCACAGTTCCAGGCCCTGTCCCTGGAATTTGTGATGAAGTCACTTTTGGGGCTGAGGAGCCTGTAATCTCTTTTGTGCATGGTCCTAGTTGGTTTGGTGTGTTGAGAACAGATGGCCTCAAAGTCCCCTGACCTTGGTAGTCTAAGACACTGCTTGGTCAAAGTGACTGTCCTAAGGAACCCAGCTTTGGAAGGGCTGTGAGCTGAACATAGGGCTCAAGTCTCCTGGCTCAGATGAGTGCTATTGTCCTGTGGCTTGCTGTCCTGGTTCATCTGTCAAACCATTCTTCTCAGATCCTTAAATACTGCAGCACCATCTGGGGTGATGGCTCTGGCAGAACTGGAAGGACCTTCAGAATCATATCTCATTTGTTCTGCTTTGGTGTGAAAGATGTGTATCTGTGTATGTGTATGTGTGTGTGTATGTGTGCTTGCATGTGTGTTTATGTGTATATATGTAAATCTGTGTATGTGTGTGTGGCGTATGTTCGTGTAGGTATGCTTATATGGGCATACAAGGTTCACATGTTTATACATGCTTGTGGAGACCAGAGGTTTCTGTTAGGAATCTTCCTTGATCGTTTTCCACCTTATCTTTTTAAGATGGGTCTCTTGTTTAACCTGGGACCCATGGATTTGGCTAGAATGGCTGAGCAATAAATTCGATACATCAATCTGTCTGTCTCTGCTCCCTTGTCTCCCAGTGCTGGAAATATAGATGTGTTATTAACTTTTTTTTTTTTTTGGGTATTTAAAAAGAAATGTGTTGGGTGTTTGAACTTAGGTCCCCATCTTCACATGTCAAGCACTTTAACTTCCCCAGCCCCTATTTTATTATGTTCCCAAGTGATGCCTTTGATTCCTTCCAATCCCTGTCTCCTAGCTCACAAAGCACCCATGGTGGGTCCCAGCCTTTCCTTCGTGGGCCCACTCAATATTACCCAGCCCTCCTTGATCTTAAGAATCACGTGAAACGTCAAAGATAAAGAGCTCTGGGGCCTCCCCAGAGTCCCATTGAACCCGCCTTTTTGGGAGAGGCTTGGGGAACTGTTTTCAAGTTCTTTTCATTGCTATTATTCTCAAGATTTCTAGTCTGTGTGTACAGCAGGCCCTTTCCTCCTGGATCCAGTTTTGCCATCTTTAAAACCCCACCTCATGGTTATGCCTCAGTCCCATCTTTCTGTCTGCAAGCTATTTTCTGGCCTGCAGAACTGGTCTCCAAAGTAGGAGAGGAATATCCACTGTCTTCTTTCCTCTAAGAACAGGTGGTAGGCAGGGCGTGTGGGAAGTCATGGACTGAGCAGTGCAGAAGACTGGTGTGTGAGGCTGAAACTAGGGTGGAGTGCCTGTGCGCTTTCCCTGGCATCAGGACATTAGAGCTTTGGGCACATACCTAAACCTCTTTAAACATCTGTGTTCTAACTAGGAAAGCGGTTTTGTGCGTATTAAACAAGGTGTCCGAGGTGGAGATTTGCACGTGGAGTGTATTAGAGAGGGCTCTCGGGAGCATCTCTGTAGGAGGAGGGAAGCCTGGGAGGCTGGCTGAGATACAGCTATGCCATGGAGAGCCATGAGGGTGCATTGCCTCTTAAATTTGTTGGCAATTGAGGGAAGAAGAGAGTCATTCTGTCTTCATATCCACCAGTCATAGGCTATGGGCTGGCACTGGAGAAAGGGCATGACCTCAGGTGATGATCCGCCTTGGCTGAGATGTCTGTGTGCCTGCAGCGGTCCATAATAGGTGCTTGCAGATGGGGAAAGAGTGCCTTCCTCTTGGAGAGCATCTCGGTGGGATCCGGCAGCACCTGCTGTCCGCACCAGCGCGCATGAACCTTGGCAGTGAAACCAGCGCAATTGTCAGCGTTCAGCAAACATTTACGGTTGTCATTATCCCAACTCTGGCAAGCTGTCCCACTTGTGAGACATTGCTTACCTTGGCTTGGGCTGCTGTCTGATGTTGTAAGCAGATTCCAAACTCTGCTCTGCCCACCTCCTAAACAGCTTCGAGAACACATGGAGAAAGCAGAAGGGAAATTGCTGAGTGAAATATTACGAAAATGTCAGGGATGACTGAGCCCACTTTTCTTCAATGAATATATGGCCGGGACCTGGATTCCCTGAAGGGAAGAGGTTGTGATAAATGTAACAGTGCTTGTCTATGAAAGATGGCGTTTTGATTTTTCTTTCTTCTCTCCACAGGGGATTAGAATAATGGAGATGTTGCTGAAGGAACAGTGTGGTGCTCCCTTAGTGGAATAAAAATCATCAGTGAGTATCAGAAGCAAAATCAGAATTATTTACTCAAGCCATGTTTTCATGCTTCTAAACCTGGCGTTATGAATCAGCCTCCCTGGGCTATCTCTGCTGTACGTTTCCCAGTGATAGCCATAGAACACTATTTCACAGGCATTTTGTTATCTGCTCAGCAGCTTTATTTGCTTGGCTTCCTGATTTTCAAAGCAGTTTTGTACTGTGCGCCGAGTTACAACTGCTTTCAAATCGCTAAAACTGTTCGGTATAATCGACCATGATTGAGGCCCTTGAGGTGGCAGAGATTTGTAAAGGCCGCTCTCAGGATTAGCTGAAGCTTGCTTGTTGTTCTCAGAACAATAAGAAGGGAGGCTTAAAGCCGTAATTGGGGCAGGAAGGATCACAAGAACAGACTGTGTTGATTGGCCACTAAAACAAATACATTTTACTAGTCTAGAAACGAATCCCCAAGACCAGAATGCGAAAGTCTCCCAAATATGCAGCTTCCTGAATGCGGACCTAAAAGCGTGGTGTGACAAAGTTTATGCCCGACCTTATGTGGTGGGTGACAGTCCAAACAAGGTAAACTGAAAGTATTGTATGTAAATTATCTTACGAGTATACAGTCTATACGAAAAGGAAATGAAATTACTGTTTATGCTTGGGTTCTAATCCCAGGGAATCTTATTATGTGTGTGCAAATATTGCAAAAATATGAAAAAAAATTTTAATCCAAAATACTTCTGGTTCCAGGCAGCTTGGATAAGGGATACCTAATAAGAATATTCTCCCCACCACCTGAAATGCCGTTTTGAAGGAATCTGAATCTTAGGAATAGTATTTGGGCTCTGGCTTGAATGTCTTGAGTGATTAGGAGTATTTGTCCTGGGTACAGACTAGCAATTCAGAATTATCTTTGGCCAACTTAAAGGGACACTACAAACAGTTTTCTATAAACAACCTGGTGTTTCAATTGTGGTATACAATGAATTTGAGAGCAATTAACTAAAGAAGAATTGATAGGCCCCTTCACACACTAGAACCTTGAGTTTAAACCCTGCAGCCATGCCTCTGAACAGACACTTGGTTGGAGAGCTGAGTTTCTGTTTATTTGCAAGTTGAATGCCTGCCATTCTGATGAATGATTAGCTGTATACACTTGATATAGCGTAGATCTCAATGTTACTGTAGGGCTAAAACAGATAATTTTAGTTAATACAAGCATGGAACATAGTAGGTGCTCATAGAGTGTCAGAATTTAATCTAAATATGGTTTGCTTGTATATCCACCCTGTTCCTTAAACAGATTGTAAAGAACTTGGCTACATCCCCGTTTTTCTAGGCTGGCATATTTGTGAGGCTCACTATGTTAGTTATTCTGCCCACTATGGTGATAAAGTACCTTACAGAAGCAACTTTAAGAAAGGAAGACATATCTGGGATTATGTTTAAGAAGGGATGGAGCACATTATGGTGGCAGGATTGTCAGGTGACTGGTCACATTGCCTTCACAGTAGGAAATAGTTATAAATGTTGGTGCTCATTCTGTCTTCTCCTTTTTCCATTTATGTTAAATTCAGAAACCTAACCCATGACATGGTGCCACCAGCACTCTGGGCATATCTTCCCTTCTTGGATAAATTTTTCTGGAAATACCTTCACAGATTCACCTAGAATTGTTTCTCCTAATCACCCCCAAATCCAGATGAAAATGAAGACAAGTCTATCCTTTTTCAACCAGACACCTTAAACTGTAACATCTACCCTTTGTTGTCAAGGGTTCAATGGCCATCTCATAATGTATCATGAAATATACTAAATACATCTCATCATGTAATAAAAGATGCCAACTGAAAAAAGAAGTAGCTTCTGATGGGTCTTATGGACAGACACAAAGGAAAACAGCCACATATTAGATAGTAAGAAACGTATTAATCTATTCAAGCAAGGCAACTATAGCTTGTATAACATGGATGATTAGAGTCCCCAGTTGATGATAATAATGAACTGTTATTGGCCAATATCTGCCTATTTTCTGCACAGACCAAATAGACTTAAATGGACATAAGGTTGGAGCCACCACTCCTGTGGCCTTGATGGTGGCTCTCATCTTCATGATCTCTCCGGGGATTCAATAATGGCTCTGCTTCACTGTAGTCCCAGGTAGAGGCGCTCTAATGGCTTCCATTTGGCTGCTTCAATCTTAATAGACCGCGCTCTCACTAAGTACTAATGTGCTTGTGCACTTGGGCACTGATCCCAACTCACCCAGGGAGTGAGATCTAAAAACAGCTAAGTTACATGAGGGACTTAGGGAAGGCATGTGCCTGCTAGTTTCTAAATTTTGAACTAGTGGCCTTGAAATTTTAGTGAACATCAGAAACATCTGGAGGATTTTAAGGCATAGACTAGTGGCCCCACTTCTGGAGTTCTGGTTGACAAGTCTTGTGGGAAAGGAGATCTCCTGAGCTCACCTTTGGGTAGAGATGATGGAGGCAGTCAGTGCTAGGACACCAAGAAGACGGAGAGCTGGCCCTTCAGCATTTTTGTGTGTATGTCTACCTTTATATCTGTTGTCAGAATGGATTTTCATCTGTTGACAGAGGTTTCTGTTCTGCTCAGTCCTGTAGTCATTCAGTCCCAGAGAAACACACAGAGGTCTACATTAATCATAAACTGGTTGTCTTATTAGCTCAGGCTTCTTATTAACTCTTACATCCTATATCAGCCCATAATTCTTGTCTGTGTTAGCCACGTGGCTTGGTACCTTTTATCAGTGAGGTGTTCTCATCTTGCTTCCTCTGCATCTGGGTGACGACTGTGGACTTAGCCTTTCCTCTTTCCAGAATTCTCCTGTTCCTGTTGCCCTGCCTATACTTCCTGCCTGGCTACTGGCCAGTCAGCATTTTAATAAACATGTATAAGAGACAAATCTTTACAGGTTACAAGACCATATATTTTTCTCTGTTTTTTTTTTTAAATAAAAGCCTCTTCTTATCTATCTATCTATCTATCTATCTATCTATCTATCTATCTTCTGAATGTAGACTAACTCCAGGTTAGAGCAAACTCACCTGAAAAGAGGAATCAAGGCTCATGCCAGCTTGTGGTTCTAAGTCAATCTGGGTTTAAAGTGTTGTGAGTAAAGATGAATAAATTTAAAAAGGTTACAATGTGGCCTCTTACCTTTCAGCTATGTCCAGTCTGTGGCCCATGTGGCCCAGGACAGCTATGAGTTCAGCACGGCAAAAAAATAATAAACTCATTAAAAAGTAATTTGGAGATTATTATTATTGTTATCATTATTATTGCTATTATTTTAGCCTGTGTGTGACTTGATCACACAGTTCTCCAGTATAATCTCTGTAAATGATAATATTTTTGCAGTATCAAGACTTGGATTGTCTTTTTTTTCTTTTTATCATGTGAGACTAACCTATGACTTGAGCTTTCCTGATGTATTAAAAAAAAAGCTTACCCCATAACAAAAAACCAGTTTGCTCTATCTCAAATAGCTAAGTGGTTGAGGTCAGCTTAATGCCAGAACTTCAGAGTGGGGCAGTAGCACTTGGGTGTCACAAAATTCCTGTGTTCTATGCATAGAGTAGGCTATCATAATTCATTACCCATTTTCTCAAAGTAGTAAAGATAAAGGAAAGGATATATATTTTTCACAACTGCATCTACAATTACCAAAAATTAAGGACTACTGTTTGAGCTTTAAGCTGTTCCCCAGATCAGCGTTATTGAGTTATTATTTATTTGTAACTAAATTGATGATTTCGTTGTTGATTTTGTAGTGTACCGTCTTGTGAAGTATAAATAAATAGTTCTGCAATCATCACTACAAATCAGATTCAGAAAAGTTTGAGGCTTTGACGTCGTAGCCCAGCTACAGCTTTATTCTCTTCCCTCCCCATTTTCTTGACAATTTTTACAAACATTGTGTAGTTTGAAATGCTTCTGTCTTGATGGAACCTTTTTCCTTTCTCAAAAATAGCTTTATGAAAAATAAGTTGTAGGAGGGGAGTGTACTGCTCTTGAGATGGAAAGTGATAAAATTTAATAGAAAGGGGCCAGCAATTGGGAGGATGGGGCAAGATTGCTGAGAGCTTAGGAGTAGTCTGGGCTATGGAGTGAGACCTGTTTCAAAACTAAAAATAACATCTTAGAAGATGACTTACTAGGAGAAGGTGCTTGCCCCCAAGCCTGGCAGTTCAGTTTTGTGAACTCAGGTAGTAGAAGGAGGGTACTGACTTCCATAAGTTGTCCTATGACCTCCACACGTGTCCTATGTGTGCACACATATAAACACACACACACAGAGGTAACTAAAATGTTGTAGCAGCAGGCCGCTTGTTGGTTCCCAGCCACTCAGCCCCAAAATAATCACACAGAAACTGTATTAATGAAATCACCGCTTGGCCCATTAGCTCTAGCTTTTTATTGGCTAACTCTTACATCTTAATTTACCCATTTTTATTAATCTGTGTATTGCCATGTAGCTGTGGCTTACTGGGTAAAATTCCATCTGGCATCTGTATCCGGTGGGGGCTACATGGCGTCTCTCTGACTCCGTCCTTCTTTCTACCTTGCAATAGGCCAAGTCAGTTTCTTTATTAACCAATGGTATTTACAGCATACAGAGGGGACTCCCACATCAAAAAGTAAATTAAATAATAATAATAATAATATAATAATGGGTAGGAGGGACCACACAGAGAAGAGTTTAGAAAACTATTGCCATATGCTGTATGCAGACTGCTGCTTTTATAAATAAAGATTTATTGGAACACAGCTGTGCTCTTGGCTACCTTTAAAGTTGCAACAGCAGACTTGAATAGTTTTGATAGAGAACTTGCATTCCTTAGATTCTAAATTATTTACTTTATTCTTCTTTTGTTGTTTGTTGGGAACAAGAAGGCAAAGTTTGTTGTCTCCAGAGTTAGTTTCATAAATTAGCATCAAGGGTTGTGGTGGTGATTGTGTAACCTTTTAAAACAGTGAAATGGATCACATTCTACCTCTACTCTATAGTTTGACAGTTTATCTCATCTGCATTCATGCTAACACCTCACTTAGTGAAGACTGGCATTATGCTATCTACCTTAAGGCATGAAGAGATATTTAAATCCTAGCAACAATGAACTTAAAAGTTCCATCAACAGTGGTCACTGGTGTCACTCAGAGAGTTCCACATTTCTATTGCATATGCAATAGAAATACAGACATTCTGTTAGCATAGACAATGTCACTGTAGCATGGTAATAATATGAGCACTGTTCTTAATTTAATTGATATGCCAACTTTTAAATTTTGCAGCTCTCCATTTTTTTGTCTTTTGCACATGTGCATATGTATATGTATGCATTTATCTGCACAAATCCAGGTGTTTGTGTGTGTGTGTGTGTGTGTGTGTGTGTGTGTGTGTGTAATGGAGGGAAGGAGGAAGGAAGGGGGTGATAATCTGAAGTATTAATTCTTACCTTGTACATTATTCGAGACCGAGTCTCTTGCTTTTTCTGCCAGGCCTGGGAGTGTTTTGGGAGTTTCTTGTTTCCATTTCCAATCTTGTTTGAGTGCTGGGATGATGAACACATGCACTATTATGTCTGTCTTCACAGGATCTCTGAACATTTGGACTCAGGACCTCATGATTGTGTTTTGAACACTTTACCTTCTCAGCCACTTCCCCAGCCCAGTTCTCTGTCTGTAAAAGACAATTCGCAGAGTTACGCCAATATGCAAGATGAAAGATTATTTCATATTTTTACATTACTTACCTTTAATCCCAGCACTTAAGATGCTGAATTCCAGGCCAGTCAGGGCTAAGCCTACTACCCTCCCATACAACAAATGTAGGATTTAAATTCATGTAACATATGCCTACATTTCCTTGGTACCTAGCATCAAAATAACATCCATGAACTCTCTGACCTGTATGTCCAAGTGGGCATTTGAAAATGGAGAAAGCTTAGAAGGTAATTTTCTCATGGACCAAAGTGGAGGCTTATAAATCTCACTAACCAGTATGCTTGTGGCATTGCTGCTGACATGTCTGTTTGATGGATTTTTGATTTCCTGTCACTTTTGAACAAAACAAATAGCCCTGACATCTGTTTGTTCTTGCCACTGGCATGCCGGAGATTGGCGTGGTGAGGTTTGATAACACAGTAGAGTTCTATCTCGTCGGAATGATTAAGACCTCACTTTTAGCTGTATCTTCAGCTCCACTCTGAACCAGCTCCTCTAGGTAGCTGGACTTAATAAAATGAGGTGCTTGCCTTGTTCGGAGATCATTAGGAGGTAGGAATGCAATTTCTTCAAGAATTATCCATAGTGAGAGAATTCGAGTGACTCTTGGGAGTTGCTTCAGAAAAGAGGGCAAATAAGTATTGATTGGTGAGACATGTTTATTAGGTGATAAAACCTATTTCTTTCTCTTGCAGGGAAGCTGCCTCTGTGTTTACTCTTTTTTTTTCCCCCAATCACTTCTTGGCCGTGGCTTCATAGGCAAAATTACTGGATACAGTTTCAGGACACAGACTCAGTGGCTTAGAGAAGAAGAAACCTTCCTGCCGGAGCATGGATTGACACTCCACTTTGGAGCCTGCTTCAAATCAGGGGACTCATGGAGATGAGACCTTTCCAGCTGGAATTTTATGGCATGGTCTCTTTATGATCTTATGAATAAAAGGAAGGAACATTGCAGATAATATCTGTGCTTCCTCAAGATGTTTTGCTGATTTCCTGTGATGGTGTCAGGGCGGCTAAGGGCAGGATGAAGGCCCAAGTGAGGCACCTTGTGCTCACTAGCTGATGTCATCAGTGTCCACAGGATCCAGGAGAGGATTCTGAAACACATAAAGGGGTTCAACCTGGTACCTCTTTCCTGAGAGATGGAATAGAAAGACAATGTGCCAGAACTGTGGTAAAGCTAAGCCACATGTATACCATGGTTAGCTAACCACATGGGTACCATGGTCAGCTAACCACATGGGTACCATGGTCAGATAGCCACATGGATACCATGATCAGTTAACCTTGGTCAGTTAAGCCACATGTATGTTATGGTCAGCTAACCATATGTATACCATGATCAGCTAACCCCACATATACCATGGTCAGTTAAGTCATATGTATACCACAGTCAGCTAACCATATGTATACCATGGTCAGCTAGCCACATGTATACCTTGGTTGGTTAAGCCACATGCGCATGAACGTTTGACATTCTCAGAAGTCAGTACAGCCTTTAGGAGGTAGCATGTAAACTCTGACTTGTTCCTCTGCAGGAACCCGAAGCATGGAGTGAGGAGCATAAGGAGGGGGCTGGCTGTGGCTCCCACTAACTTGTTTGTGATGTGGCAGATTCTACAGTTCTGCTTTTGACTAGTAAAGTGGGAGTAACCGGCATGGTTCTTTCTTTTTTTTGGGGGGGGGGTAGTAAGAGTTTTATATTATACTGTGAAGTTCTAACAGATTCTTGGTTTATTTGTGGTTCATTGCTTAGCTCAATGTCATATGACTTTGGCACGATGCCAAGTGTATTGACAAAAGGTCTATCATATATAAAATTCTTAGTTCTGTGTCATAAATAAATTTGGGTAAAACCGCAAGCCTTCCACGGAGTCATCTCGGCAAAGATGGCCCATCTTCTCGGCGAGAAGCAGCCTTTCTTTAGTTAGGAGGACAGACATCCCCACAAGTTTGGCAAACTCTTCTGATGTTAAAGATCCCCTTTCTGAAACTGTCTCCAGGGCTGAGGCCACCATCTCCTCTTCTTTGTGGGTTTGAAGTTCAATTACCATGACACCACTGTCAAAAACCCAAAGCCTGACAGGCAATTTCAGTGCTTCCAGCATCTTACATGCATTCACTAAATCTTCTGGTGAGAGCAACTCCATCCCTTGAGCTCGGTTCACTAAACAGTACACCTCTGTACATTATTCCCCCACGTTCCTCTAATGGTGCCTGCAATATTCCAGCCAGCTGTTTGGCCAGCTGCATGTGGTACTGCGTGCCTGAGCCATAGATCTCCCTGGTAACTGGGTTGTCTATTCCCATACTCAGCAAGTAGGACTTAAACCTGATGGTCTCATCTTCTGTGACATCACCTTGTTCTCTTTAATCTTATTAGCGATTGATTTTGATAACTCCACCATTTCCTTAGCCTTGATCATTAGCTTGCTAAGGTCTTCAAAGGCCTCAGAAATGTTTTTGTCAGTTTCTTTTCTTTTTTCTTCGAGTTTCCTTTCAATACCTAGAATCCCCTACAGCTCTTACTCTTCCTGGCTGGGGTCCTTTATTTGTTTGTAATGACTGGGAAACTGGCACATTCTCCCACCTTCTCTGTGTTATTTCCTCTGATAAACGCCTATAAAACTCGATCTGGCCATGCTCTTTGAAGGAGAGTTTGATGTAGGAGTTCTTACTGCTCTGGAATGGACCGGGCTCTTCCTTAGAAGGAGCTGGGTGCAGATGAACCACGATTTTGGCTCTCTTCCCAATTCCGGCCGCCTGTTCCTCGATGAACACAACCTGGGACAGAGGAATGGCCATGCAGCATTCATTGTTTTTCTGGTCTCTCCAAATCAGCCAGTGTGTACTAAGAAGAAGTGTCCCAGCATCGAATTTTATCTTCTCCTCGCCGAGACGCGCACTCCGCGCTGCTGGATCACCAGCGTCTCGTTGATCTCCAGGAGGCTGCTGGTCCACCGGCATGGTTCTTTCTGCCTGTGGGTTTAGCATGAAGAACACAGGTTTGGGACCAGTCAGATAGGTGTGGATTAAACCCAGGTTCTGCCACAGTGTGTGTACATCATTTTTAAACCTTTCCCAAGTTAATTTAATAAAAATTGTGCAATGAGGTGATGACCTTAAATGAAGCTACTGGACTGACCTAAGATGGTTTATAGACTTGTTAAATAGGATCCATTATTATTGAAATGATTTCTGAGCATTTGCTTTTCTGTATTTTTTTTTTTTTTAAAGACAGGGTCTGATGTAGCCTAGGCTTGCCTCAAACTCTCTATGCATCCAGAAATGATCTTGAACTTCTGATCCTTCTGCCTCTGTCTCCAGAGTGCTGGGATGACGGGTGGGTGCTGAGGACTGAACTCAGGACTCAGGGCTCCGTGCACACTGGCAAGCTTTGTCCCAGTGGAGCTCCATCCCCAGCCTGGGCATCAGCTTCTCAATGGTGATGTAGATGGTCTTAGTGTTTGCAATTCAGATGACATTAGTTTGCATTTGCCATGATGAGAAGCCAAAATATAAATGCACACCATCTAAGAGAAGCTTGAAAGGAAGTAATAATTTGAAATTCATCTTAAGATAAAAATTAGGCCATTATTGAATAGACTTAGGAAAATTGTTCCCTTTTTTTTCTCTTTTACTATTTGAAATGTTTTTTATTCTTCTGCTTAGTGCATTGATGAATTTCAAAGCAGTTGTACTTTTTCATGCCAGCCTGCCACTGTGAGCCTCCTCTCATTGTGTGTGAGCTATTTGTGCTGCTGGAGTTTTGTCTCCTGGGATAATTTCCCTTCGTTTCCTCAGCATTTTCCTCTGCTGTTGCGTTGGAAGGAAACCGAGTGATAAAAGTCAGAGCATATTTTGACCTTGTTTTCCTGTTAGCAAATGGCATTGGAATAATTTTCCTCTTCCAAAAGTAAGTGAGTTATTATGGATGAGAACGGCAAGCATTTTTTACTCGGGGGTTGATGTTGGAGTAAATACAGCTCTCTGCACTAAAAAGCTCCCAAGGCCAGAGTTCTCTTCCTTAACCACCCGTTAGGGTCACTTGGGAGACTTCATTCCATCTCACAGTGTAAGGTGCACCCCGACCAACAAATCAGAGTCTCTGAATGTAGAATCTTGGGATCACTCACTACCTTTAAAGTTCCTCAGGTGTGCCCATGGTCTGGGTCATTTGGATACATTTTCTTATTTCTTTCTTCTTATTTTACTCCTTATCTACACATTTATTTTAGATAGGATCTCACTATTGCAGCTCAGGCTGCTCCAGTGCTTGTGGCCTCCAGGCGTGGCAGCCGTTACTGCTTCACCCAGTTCTTGATTTCTTCCTTAACATGTGTGAGGTGGGATAGAGTCTGTCGCGGGAATTTTCACTGAGAGAACTAGGCAGAGAGACCGAATTTGTGCTGGATTCCTTGAAGCTGGGGTGGCTGGTGCAAAAGTGCGCAGGTCCTCAGACACTCTACAGGATGTGCCTGGTTAAAGGTGGGGGCTGCTGCTAAGCCCCAGCCACTGCAGAAGCCACGTGGCTGCTTTCTGTGGTGCTTGCAATGTTCGCCTTCCCAGGAAATGACAGAGGAGGAGGAGGAAAAGGGGGAGGAGAAGCCTTTTAACTTTCATGTGTCAAGAACAAATTCAGAACTGTTCCCTCTCTTCTGTTTGCCACGCGTGTTTGCCAGCCAGTACTTTTGAGTCCATGCGTTTACAGCAGGGGTTCTCAGTTTTTCCAGTGCTGCGATTCTTCAGTGCAGTTCCTCACACTGCGGTGACCCCAACCATAAAATTATTTTCCTTATTACTTCATAACTGTAGTTTTGCTATTGTTATGAACTGTAATTTAAATATCTGTGTTTTCTGATGATCTTGTGTAGGCGGAGACTGCTCGTTCGTTTTCCGGCCGCCCAGACCTGAATAATCACACAGAAACTATATTAATTACAACACTGCTTGGCCAATGACTTAGGCATATTCTTAGCTAACTCTTAGATCTTAAATTAATCCATTAATCTATATATTGTCACGAGGCTGTTGCTTACTGGTAAAGGTTCCAGCAGCAGCTCTCAGCTTCGGTAGCTACATGGCATCTCCTTAACTCTGCCCTCTCTCTATACATATCTCTGTTCGGCTTTATTCTGCCCTGACATAGGCCCAAAGTAGCTTCTTTATTAACCAATGGAAATAAAAAAAAAATTCAAAGCATACAGAGGGGAGTTTCATGTCAGTGTTCCAGGTCACAACTCACAGGTTGAGAATCACCCTAACAGCTACTTGGGGTGGCTCACAACCATGTATTACTCCAATTCTAGGTGTTCTAATGCCCCCTCCTGCCCTTTCAGGGCACTGCACCCATGTGCACACCCCCCCCCCCCCCCGAGTTAAAAAGAAAAATAAAATATTTATAAAAAACATTACAGAGCTGGTGCTGGAGAGATGGCTTAATGGTTAAGAGCACTTTCTGCCCTTTTAGAGAACCCAAGTTTAGTTCCCAGAACCTACATCAGGAGGCTCCCAACCTCCCATAATTCTAGCTGCAAGGATCTGAAACCCTTTTCTGGCCTCTGGGACTTACCCATATACATATGATGTCCACTCACGCAAACGTACATAGACACATACATAAAAATAAAAAGCAAGCCCTTAGAAATCTTCATCTTTTTACAATTAATTAGGCTCTTTTAGTTTTTAAAAATTGCATATCTACTGTCAAAGTGTGTACTTGGCCATCTACTGAGGAGGATGAGAAATGTCAAAGTCAGGATGGACACACTGGACACAAGCTGGGGGGAGGTTCAGTCACAGACCTGGCTTCCGACAGCATTGCTGAGCCTGCCCTTCAAGGTGCGGTTATACAGCGATGGGAGACTGTCCAGACACCCACAGAACTGCTACAGTGCCATGCAGGCTCAACGCTTCTCCCCCACAGACTCTGATTCTTGCAACACTCAG